TCGTGTCGTTTTCCTCGTGAATGAAAAGCATACATTAAAGAAGGGCCATCATGAGATCGTCATGGTGTGATCGCAATGGATTTTGGAAGTCTAACCAAAAGTGAGTATGCTCTCGTCCCCTTTTAACAGTTAAATTTGCCATCGCTCCGTTCAGTCAATGATTCGACATCTTCAGTTTATCGTAGACACACGAGCTGCATTACGGGCTTTAATGATCCAGTGCCTACCGCCCCGATCTCAAATATCGACGCTCTAGCAAATGTGCAAATATTTCTTTGAGGGAGTAATGTTTCGCTTTCGACCTTACCACGAAACCTCCACGATACAACGAGCCACCTTTTCTCCGAATAGCTGTCGCTCCAATTCTTAATAATCAAATCTCCGATTCTCACTCGTCATTTTGATCGTCTCCGAGAAAAGACTGAAGAAAAACAAGCGGAAAGTCTCTCGCTAAAGGAATTCCATTTCGCTCCATAACACTAAGATGTCGCCTTTAGGATGCACTAATTGCAACATGACAAGAACGATGGACCACGATGCCACTATCCATGCTCAATCTCTGTCGTTCTTTAATCTGGCGGATTTAAAAGATGGCGATGATTACGATTTTGACAACTTGCCAATTTAGTCTTAAACTTATTGCATTTGTGTTAGTTCGATCATAAACCTTTCGATTTTATCGATTCAGCCCTAAAACTTTTGACAACTCTTCAATTTAGTCTTAACCTTTCAATTGTGCAAATTTAGTCATAAACCTTTTGATAATTTACCAATGTAGTCCTTCCGGCCAAAATCATTGACGTGGCGGTCTAGTCAGAGTCGTTCATCCTAATGCTAATGTGGATAATTTTTATTATTTTTTTAATAATTTACTTAAATTTCAATTTTTCTTTTTTTCCCTTCTTCCTCTAGCCGGTCACCAGACCTTGGCAATGGCTGGAGACCGTCCAAAGGCGAGGGCCAGCGAGTTCGACCTCGCTAGCTAGCCGTGGGTAAGCCTTGACCTCACCGTTGCTAGGCAAGGTCGGCCTTTGCATGGTTGGGCGAGGCTCAAACTCCCCAGATCAGGCGAGGCTCGCCCTTACTAGTAGCAGATCATGCCATGTAGGACGGCTAGCACTAACTAGATCACTACGTCAGCGATATTTGGCAAAAATTGATCGGAATAACTAATTTAGCAAATCGATAAAATGTTTAGGACGAAGGTTCATGGCTAAATTGGCAAGTTGTCTAAAGCTTTAGGACCAAATTGGTACAATTAAAAGGTTTAGGACTAATTAGTATAAGTGCAATAGATTCGAGACTTTTTTTTGGGTGATTGTCCCTACTTCGCTCCAGAACACTAAGATCTCGCCTTTAGGATGCACTAATCGCAACGTGACAAGAACCATGGACAAGGATGCAACCAAATTTATGCTAGATGTCTGTCGTTTTTCAATCTGGCCGATTAAAAAGATGTCAATGATTATGATCTCGAGCATTGAAAAAATCATCAATTTTGACGTTCATCGCGATATAATGCCCAAAAAGGGATCCCACACCACTAAACATCGAGAACTTTCAAGTTAAAGTATCGTGGAGGGGGGTATGGAATCTATATAGAATCCTAACTCTACGTGATATGAAATGCCGTGGGTGTGTCTTTGACCTAAAGCAATCATTTGGGTTACTTTTAAGTGTGTCGGCCATATTAGCATTAGAATAATATGTAGCTAAGTTGGGGGCCGGCATCTCTGATCGTAACTTTTCTTATTTAGTGATTATGATGAGAAACGGGAAAAACATACGGGAAAATCGTCCAAAAAAAGTCCTAAACCTATCATACGGCGGCCAATTCAGTCACGAACTTTTCGATTATGGGGAAAATTATCCAAAAAGTCATAAATCTATTGCATTTTTGTCAATTCAGTCCTAAACATTTTAATTTTGCCAATTGAATTCTAAACCTTTTCACGTTTTCCCAATTGAGTCCATCAGACAAATTTTGATCGGAAATCGTTAACATGAACGTCAGCTGTCCCGTGTGGCATAGCTGGCGACCTCGTCGACTAGAGGTTTATTAAAAAAAACAAAGAAAAGAATCCATAAAATTAATAAAAAAAATTCAAAAATATTATTAAAATTTGTACACGTTAGCGTCGATCATGCCATGTTGGACAGCGCATATCCACATCAGCGATTCCGGGAAAAATTGGCTGGATTAACTTAATTAGCAAAACACGAAAATGTTTAGAACTCAATTGGCAAAATTAAAATGTTTAGAATTGAATTGGCAAAAATGTAATAGGTTTAAGACTTTTTAAACAATTTTCCCTTCAATTATGCCAATTAGTCCTAAATCTTTTGATGATTTGTCAATGCGATCCTTTTGGCCAATGGTCGAAAATTGCTGGCGACGACCGGGAGAGAGATGGAGACTCTCAAACCAAATCAAATGTATCATCATTTTGAGAGTCCATTCAAGCCGAACTAAATGAAACTCGACAACTTCCAAAGCCAAATTAAACATCTCATTCCTTTCAATTTGGTTTTATTCTAAATCATCTATTCCAAATGATTGCGTGTTCATCTTTAGGTATACTCAATAGTTTATAGATGATGCAATGATATTTGGACTGTGGTTTCATCTTTTACCCATCACAAAAAATAAAAATTTAATTGCTTTCAAGCTTGGATCGATGAAGGAAAAATCACGCTATGTATGGAATTTAATCCGAAAAATACGTATTATTCGGTTGAACGACTGCATAATATACACAAATTGACTAATAAAAGATGGTTTCGAGCTCCAACTTTTCAGAAAACCCCGAAATCAAATCACAGGAGATTTCAATTGATCGCCACAAGAATGAATAGACGGATCCACCAATCATTAGGATTTCCGTGGCACGTGTTTAGCGCGTAGCTAAGTAATCTCATTTGATGCACGACCTAACCACTCTCATATAGTGCACGACCTAATACCCGTATTAGGACAATTAAAATAATCTCCTACTTAAGTAAGTAAGCTTAGCATAATCATTCCGAAATCTAGACCCATGTGATGAGGTCAAACCGGTCAAATTGTTCATCTAGCACCAACCCCTTTTTCTCCATTTTTCTAAGGCGGGGGAAATGAAAGAGCAAAAAAGGGCGTTGATCCGGATTAAGTTTGGCAGGGATAGAATACGATGAGACCCAGCATGCCGGGAGCTCGAACAGATCCCACGCGGGTTTCCAAGGTTTGGCCACATGGAATTGACCCAAAGAAGCGACGTCACTGCTGATAAAAGCCTAGGATTTAGATTAAGATCGAAAATCATTGGAATGATTGGAAGAAACAGCGTTTGAACTGTTGAAAATTGCATCTTGTTCCCAATTAATCTAGACGAATTCGTTAGATTTCTGGTTTCAATTGCGCGGTTGGTGAGGGAATGGACGCGGTGGTTATGCGGTCGTGACCAATGGTGGTGTAATCTAAGGTAGGTCTGCCCAGACCGATCTAGAAAACTAGTGTGCTATAATATATATATATTTATGTATGCATGTATGTATAATTGGTGGCAAATGGGTGTTTAAAATAAACGAGCCATTTTCAACACTCGATGAGAGAGCTCGCCGCAACCGGGTTTTGGCCTTTTGCCCCCTTTTTTTGATGGGGAAGAAACTCGTCCAAGTCAATCTTGGCACATGACATTGCTCATGTGACTGTCGTGGGGGTTGGTAATGATGTGTACGTCAAATTACGACGGTTAATCTATGCTAAATGATAGCGGTGGGATTCACCAAACCGTTTACGATCATTGGTGTCCACGACATCTCGATGGGCCAGGTAAGATAGCCGCCGTCTCGAAAAGTCGACGCGGCGCCTCGAGATGCAATCCGGCACGTGATGACGCGAGCTCTCGGAGGGGGCGAGCCGACGCTCTCCTTAAAATCAGAGGAACTCGATTCGCGCGAGAGGGAGGGGGACGGTAACCCGAACGCCGAATTAGGAACAGAAGGACTTCAAAATAACCTCTCCCGAAGAAGGGCCATGATCGGCGTTCGATCCCATCCCTTCATTCTTGAGGGCTCGGCATCTCGCACCGTCGCGAAATCTGCAGACTGAAATGATTCGAACTTTCCTTTTCGGTTCGCAAAACACTCGCTGTGAGAACTTATCCTGTTGCTTAGAAAGCAAAACTTACTAATGGCAGCTTTAGCTTTAGAGAGTGGCAAGATAAGTGCTAGGAAACTTTGGAAGGACGAAAGGAATTGGAATCGCCGAACGGACCATTCCCGGCATATTCGCCGGCCTATTGGGCCAGTGGTAGGTGCACTTCGAAAAGGTTGCCCCCTCATCAAATCCAAATCCAACTCTCCAGTTCCATTCCGTTTTCCTCTTCTCCCCCACACGAATATTCCCTCCCCATATTCCCCCTCCCCCCCCCCCCGAAATCCCACTCTCGTTAATTGTTTGAACAAATTGTCCCCCCCAAGAAGAATCTCTTAAAGTCGCCGCCCCGCCTGCCGAGCAAAAGATCACGTGACCATGGATCCTCCGGCCTTCGAATTTTAATCGCGTCTCGGGAAAAATTATCGCCCGACACCCATAAAGAGTACGTCGCGTCGTTCGCAGATTCCCTTTTGAAACGCGGATCGGGATTGCATTTCGAACAATTAACGCGACCTGGGAATGATCATAAACCTTGTGATTCTAACACGTTCCGGTGCGTACTTATTTTGAATGTTGTTGGATTAGGTGTTGGTCCTAGGGGTGTCAAAACTCAATCGTCGTCGTCCGAAATTCGAAACGGACAGGCAGAGAGGAGGGGGACTCCTCCTAGTGTTACTGTCGTTCGACAGCACGCCAACGAAAGGAGAAACACGCGCACGGATCCCACAAACATTCGCGTAATATTCCATGGAATCTACTGGAGCGTAATGGCGCAAATGGTAACTGCGCGACGCGACTCTTCCTTCGCCCTTGTCTCGCACCGATCAGAGCAGCGCGCTATAAATACCCCCGCTCCCCTCTCATCCCTTCTCGCGTCTCCTCCACCCGCAGAAATCTCTCCTGTTCACTACGAAAGATTAAGAACAAACCTCCCAAAACTCTCTCTGTAGTTTTCTCGTGCATTGTGCTCTGAGACGAATGGCTGACATCGTGGTGCTCTTCGACTTCGACGAGACGATCATCGACTGCGAAAGCGACAGCTGGGTCATCAACGAGCTGGGCTTGACCGATCGGTTCAATGAGCTCCTCCCCACCATGCCCTGGAACTCTCTCGTGGTGAGTTTTCTCTTCGTGTTTTTTCTTTGTTTGGGTTGTTTTCTTTCTTTTTGCATGGATTTCGAGTGCTGCAAAAGGCCCTCCACTTTCGTAAACAATCTCTTCTTTACTTGGGCAGATCTCGTGTAGCACAAATTGTTCCCATTTTGTTTTTGTCCCTCTGTTTTGATGTTCGGGCTCTGCTTCTTACGAAGCTTGTTTGACACAACCCCAAAAAAACCAAACTCTTTGCAGGACAAGATGATGGGAGAGCTTCATGCGAGCGGCATAACAATCGAAGAGATTGAGGATGTGCTGAACAGAGCTCCCATCCATCCCAGAATCGTCCCCGCCATCAAATCCATTCATGCTTTGGGGTAAATTTTATAACGAAGCAATTTGTCTCTCTCTCTGCTCAGTGCGTTGTTTTGGAACACAACGAAATTAAGCGAGTCTTTCTTTTTTTGGCTAATTCTCTCTCTCTCTGCTCAGGTGTGATTTGAGGGTTGTGAGTGATGCCAATCTCTTTTACATCGAGACAATCCTGAACCATCTGGGCATACGGGAGTGCTTCTCCGAGATCAACACGAACCCGGGCTTCGTCGACGAAGAAGGGAGGCTCAGGATTTCGCCTTACCACGACTTCAAGTCCTCTTTTCATGGATGTGGTCTCTGCCCTCTAAATATGTGCAAGGTAACAAAACACACGTATAATAATGCAAGCAGATCCCCGTTTTTCATTTTACCATCCTCGATTGCCGCCTGCTTTTGAGAAGAGAAGGTTCTTGACAAACTTCAACGCATGCTGATGCAAATTCACGCCAGCTTTGAAAAACATGAGGATGAATCTGGACATTTTGACAGGGGGACCATTTAGAACAGTACTCTATCAGATACCATGAAACCTTCATAATTAAAATAATAGCCTGCACTTGCCGTTTGGGACATTATAAAACAGAAATATATCAAAAGATGGACTGGTCAATCTGTCAACGGGGTCTCCAAAATTAGTGGAACTCTGTCCCTCCTCGGTGTTTCTTGCTCACTTCTGACCCCACTATAATCCTCCTCTCGTCATCTTCACATCTATCGAAAAACACAAAGAGACAATGACAGAAGGATCAAATCTTTTAGGGTCAATCATGATCCACATGTAATATTTATATGTGATTTTTTACAGGGAGTGGTGATTGAAAGAATACAAGCCTCTCTGTCTGCCGAGGGCAAGCAAAAGAGGTTCATCTATCTCGGAGATGGGGCTGGTGACTACTGCCCAAGCCTGAAGCTCTTGGAGGGTGACTTCATGATGCCGAGGAAGAATTACCCTGTCTGGGACTTGATCTGCAGGAACCCCATGCTGTTGAAGGCGGAGGTTCGCAAGTGGACCGACGGCGAAGAGATGGAGCGAGTCCTGTTCGAATTGATCGACACGATAATCACCGAAGAGGAGATCAAATCTGGCCAGTTGATTTCATCAGACTGCAGGTTGCAGAACATTGCTTTGTCTGCTCACGAAGCCCTCCTTCCAACTCTTCCTGTTCCTCAATAGGAACTTCTAAAATGACGGCAAAATAAGGAAAGAAATTTATGGGATTATACTAGTTTGACTTAGTTTTTGCACAGCTGCACTTGTTTTTGGGGCAGCTCTTTTGGGTTGTGATTCAGCCAAAAGGGAAAATGGAGAAACATATGGGAACCTCTGTAGAGCTTTGGATGTTTATGAATTTCCCATTGGTCAAGTACTGATCAAGACGAATACCTAATAACACCAGCTTGGTTCTGGTTCTGGTTCTGCTTCTGCTTCTGCTGGTGACGTGGAAAATTTGGAAATTCCTAAGCAATGTCCTAATTTTAGTAAGTTGGAGCACCTCTTGTTTGCTAGGTCAAGGCTGAAGCATCTTGACAGGACTGTCTCGCACAAGAATACATGTGGTGAAAACAAGTGCAAGACTTAAAAATTCTAGTATTGAATCATCAACATGCATACTTTTACAGAGGAATTCCAATAAAATGAGTTACGGCTGTGACCAAGATCTCTCTTGATCTAATTGATAAAAGAACAGAAGGCCAGATCAACAATGAACTAAACCTGAAAATAATACAGCATGACACCCAAGACAAAATGGGAGATATTGAGGATAATCTTTTTTCAATATCGCACAACTAAAACAATATAGCCTCAAGTATGAATGCTGTCCTATTTTGGGTTCCTGGGATGAGTAAAGAACGAATCTTTTTTTACGACAAAAATAAATATTCCAATGGAATATCAATATAAGAAGAAAATTTAGCAATGTGGGAAAATTGCAAGTGATCTTTGAGAACAAAGGGGAATGAAGTAGATGGCCAACCTTATACAGGGACCAAAAGGCTTTCTAAAAGAACCGAAATGAAGTTATATCCAGAGCTGACTTCCGAAAGAGAGTGTCACTCTTAAGGATATCAACTTTTATCAGCAGACAAGCATGGTGGCCTGGTCTGCAACACGCTCCTGGAAGCTGATGGTCCGCATTTACTCTGTATTCCTCAGAGAACGTGCTTAATAATCCTTGTGGCTCTGTCTCGACATTTTTGCCAATTCAACATGGTATTGCCGCTAAGTCAAAGGGTCCAGATTGTAAGAATTCAACATGCCGTCTTCGTCGTTGCTCCAAAAGATCGTGTTGCTAACACCTTCTTGAAGGGTTCCTCCTCCTTGGAAAGGTTCTTTTGATTACCAATAAACACTATACTTATTACATGGATTTATTCAAGTCGTTGCGAGGAGAACGGACTAAATCTCCGGCTCTGAATCTCGTGGTTATTTTGATTGATAAACCTCGTGGTTATACTCAACTTTTTGGTGTCCAATCAAAAGGAAAAGGTGGCATTATTGTCCTCTAAGGACCCGTAGTGGAGGGTTAAAATTATTAGTACAATTACTTAACTTTTTCGCGTTCGATCAAATGTCACATTGCCATGTAAAACGCGCCATTGTTTTACCTTCAAATGATTCGCCACATTGTTGTTACTTTGGAAAAACAGCGAAAGGGAAGACATTACCGTCCTGTCGTCTAAGGACTTGTGGTGAAATATGGCCCCATTTGATTCAGCTTTGGAGAAATGTCCTTGGAGAAATGCAAAGGCCTTTAGCCTAAAGGGATTTTGTGAAATACAAAAACTGTAATTGAAAATTATCTTGGGATGCAATTTTGGGAAAAATGCTGTTTGGTAATCACATATTTGGAAAGTCCTTTGTTGTGCCAATTTAAGTTTCTTAACTTTAATTTGTTTAAAATTGAAAAAAAAAACAATAATTACGTATGTCCCGAGGAAAGAAATACATTATACTTATATATGATACATAAGATACATCATCAAGTCTGAATTGTACAATTTTTTGCTACGAAGTTCATTTTCACTATAGTCCTCAAATCACAACATTATTCATCCTTAATTACTTTTTATCACTTTTTTGTGGTTGACCGCTCGAGTAGCTTATAAATCAGGAGGGTCCAATTGTTGGACACAAGGTCGGAAAAAGGTTTAAGTTCATGAAAGAATCATTGTTCTAACTAGCTAGAATTGATAAATTTCATGAGTTTGAAATGAACTGCAAGGTAAACACATATCTGCATAGGCCATTTTGCATCGGGCAATGGATACACTACACAAGACGCCCTCCCCACTTATAAATCAAAGTAAGAGTGTCGCGACCTCTCCGAACCGGTCTCGTCACCTAGGAGGTTTGGCTAATTGATTGCTAAGTCTAAACCTAGGACTTAACTCGAGCTCTTCCAAACCCATACCGACTCACAACTTAAGGTTTAAGTTATTAGCATGAAAATCAATATCATTTAGGAGTCGCCACTAATTAGTTTTCGGCGGGTCGATTAGACAACCAAGTAAAGCATGAGAGAATTGCTTCACTTCCACAAACCAGAGATTCCGTGGATATGGGGACTTGATTACATTAACTGACCAACTAGTGCCCTATCGGTACCTCATTTTGCTCAATCACCACCTAACGTGTCGATGCAGTAATCTTACCAATTGTGAGTCCTAAAGTTCTACTCCTAACTAGGCTAAGGGAAGGAATAATCGATACATGGAAAGTGCACAATCAAATAGTAATCAAAATTGAAACGCACAAACAATGACTTAACATGTCTCTAATCGACCACATGCAAAGTCGAATTATACACACAATTAAAATGTGCGAAACAAGCAACATGCAATTAAGCATGGCATTAATCACACAAAAGGGCAAGAAGGGGCAATTCCAAAGCCCAAATACTGTTTTTTTTTTATTTTTTAATTTAAATTATTTTTAATATTAAAATAATAAATATAATATTATAAAAATGGACCTAGGTCGGATCTCCACATCCGACCTGGGCGCACTAGCCCGAGTCCACCACGAAGTGGGCTCTGCGAAGGCCCAATTCGGAATACCTTAAAACCCAAGTAAAATAATTAAATATAAAACATCCAAGCCCAGCCCACTAGGAATAAAAACCTAAAAAACACTTCAACCCAATTTGGCCCACCCACAAAATGGCCCGAAACCCAAAAGACCCATTCTAGTCCTAAAGTTCTAAAAAGCCTAAAGCCAACAAACCCTAATAAACTTAAGACTAGTCCAAACACCAAAAGTCTACCCGGCTGCGACTCGTGCGCTCGACTCAGCCGTGAGCCGCCAACTCGACTTGCCCAAAAAACTTAGCCAGCTTAGCCACCGCCTACCCAGCTCGCGCAAGCCTACTGGTCACGACCCACGCACCCGACCTGGGCGCAGCCCCAACTCGCCTCACGTTCTCGCCCAAGCCTCATCGCTCGTGGCTTCTCTTCTACGCGGCCGTGCCCTCGCCTAGTCGCCATTCGGCCACCGCCGATCTCTGCTTCCCACGTCGCCGACCAAGCTCCGGCCACCATCATTGGTTCACTCATACACCTCGTCCAAGCACCCAACGGAGCGAGATGACCGCCAAAACGGACCACATCCAAGCAAGCAAATGCAGATAGCAACACGAAGGGGAAAAAACACGTCGCAAAAACCAAGGGGTCGACAAACATCCGCATATGTGGCAAGAAAAATTTCATTCGGACATTTCATCGAACGGGTTGAACACATTAGAAAAAGAGGGATTTTTTTGGCTTTATCAGGGCTCGAAATGGACCGAGATTCTCGACACACAACGTACGGGAGCGGAGAACAAGTGCGAAGACGTCATGGGCCGGAGCTCGCACGAGCCGGACAGTTATGAGCTCCGGCCAGTGAGCCGAGAACAAGGCACGAAAACAAAAACAAGGGATGGAGGGGCGGCCGTTTGTGGCACTCCCTACCCCGTTCGGTGGCGGCGCATAGGGCAAACGCGATAGATCGGACTACGTCCGGTCGCCTCGCACACCTCTGAGCCGGGATCCTCGGGAAACCAATCCCCAAATCAAATCGGAATGCAGCGAAAACTCCAAAATGAAACTTACCGTGGCTTGGTGCGAAAAAGGGGGTGTTGGTGAGTCGTCAAACTCGATACAGACACGGCAACCTTGGTCTCTCGGTTCTCTCTCTCTCACGCTCTCGGTCTCTCTCGGGATCTCTCGCTCTCTCCACCGGATCCACCGCCAACTGCCGTGGCCCTTAAGAGCTAGAGTGAGAGAGAGATTCGGGGGGAGGCCAAGAGTTTGAGAGGCCGAGGGGGAAGATCCGGAGGAGAGAGTGAGAGATCCCGAGAGAGACCGAGAGCGTGAGAGAGAGAACAAAGAGACCAAGAAGCCGGAGGGGGAGACCTTCCGACAGTTGCCTTGTCCGCATCGAGTCCGACGACTCGCCAACACCCCCTTTTTCGCACCAAGCCACAATAAGTTTCATTTTGGAGTTTTTGCCGTATTTCAGTTTGATTTGGGGGTCGGTTTCGCGAGGATCTCGACTCGGAGGCGTATGAGGTGGCTGGATGTAGTCTGATCTATAGCGTTCGCCCTCATGCGCCGCCGCTGAGCAAGGTAGGGAGTGCCGCAAACGGCCGCCCCTCCATCCCCTGTTTCTGTTTTCGTGCCCTGTTCTCGGCTCACTAGCCGCAGCTCATGGCCGTCTGGCTTCTGCGAGCTCCGGCCCGTGATGTCTTCGCACTTGTTCCCCGCTCCCGTGTGTCGTGTGTCGAGAATCCCGGTCCATTTTGAGCCCTGATTTAGCCAAAAAAATCCCTCTTTTTATAATGTGTTCAACACTTTCATTGAAATGTCCGAATGAAATTTTTTTTACCACTAATGCGGATGTTTGTCAACCCCTTGGTCTTTGTGACATGTTTTTTCCCCTCCGTATTGCTATCTGCGTCTGCTTGCTTGGATGTGGTCCGTTCCCTCGGTCGTCTCACTCCGTTGGGTGCTTGGATACAGCGTGTGGGTGAACCGATGATGGTGGCTGGAGTTTGGTCAGCGATGTGGGGAGCAGAGATTGGCGGTGGCCGAGTGGCGATTGGGTAAGGGTACGGCCGCGTAGAAGAGAAGCCTCGGGCGTTGAGGCTCGGGCGAGAACGTGAGGTGAGTCAGGGCTATGGTCGGCGCTCGGGTCGTGGTGAGTAGGCTTGTGCGAGCTAGGTAGGCGGCGGCTGAGTCGGGCTAAGTTGTCTAGGCGAGTCGGGTCGGCGGCTCACAGTCGGGTTGAGCGCACGGGTCGCGGCCGGGTAGACTTTTGGTGTTTGGGCCAGTCTTAAGTTTATTAGGGTTTGTTGGCTTTGGGCTTTTTAGAACTTTAGGACTAGAATGGGTTTTTTAGGTTTCGGGCCATTTCGTGGGTGGGCCAAATTGGTTGAA